CTCTATGGGCTCAAAGATTCCCACGCGCACGAAGTGCTTGCAGATGCTGTGCCACTCCTCGTCGCTCTGCACCTGCACCGAGGCCTTCGGGACCTCCTGCGGCCACTCGCCCCAAGGATTGAGCAGGATCGGCGGGTCCAGTAGCCACACCTGCACGCACGGCGCAGCTAGGTCGATCGCCTCGACGGACCCCGCGAGGCCAGCCGCGGGCAGCCCAGGCAGAAGCACGCCCAGCACCAAAGGCCAGCTCCTCGCGACCTCCTGGCCGTTGTAGGCGAGCGCCTTCGCCCCCACGACACGGCCCCAGTCGAGGTCCTCGAGCGGGCCGAGAGAGCCCCTTGCAGAAGTAGGCCGCCGCCCTCCGACGACGACCCACTCGATGCCCCCACAGCAACCGTTGAACGCCAGCTCGCTGTCTTGGTCGAGCGCCTTGCCGCCCCTGAACATCTTCCCGGCCACCTGGAAGGACCCCTGCTCTGGCAAGGGCAGCGGGATGAGGTCTCGACGACGCGCTACCCGCGGATCTGGCTGAGCCGAACCAGCGCGGCGGAGAAAGGACCCGATCTCACCTGGGTCACGGCGGCAGGCGTCGACTGCGGCGATCACAACCTCAACTCGGGCCCTACAGCGGCCGACGGCGCCTGGCGCATCGATGGGCTGCCGAACTGCTTCCCCTCGGCCAAGGCCTGCTTCATGAGCTTGCCCAGCCTGGAGCCGTTGGCCTTCCTCGTCTCGTTCCCGCGCCGAGGGTGCTGCGCTTTCAAGTCCCAGTACCTTGGCTCCGATTCTGGGCGGGGCTGGCCCGCCTCCCCCGCCAGCGCCACGCGCCGCCCCGGGCCCGCGCGCGCGCCAGGCGGCGGGCGAGCCGACGGCGCCAGGGGCGGCAGCGCTGCCTGCCCGCCCGAGCGACCTCGCCCGCCCCGCCCGTGGCCGCGCCGGGGGCCCGGCCCCCACTGCAGCCGCTGGCACGTGCCGAACTGGGCTCGGTGAGCGCCCCGGCCCTGGCGCTGCCAGCCCAGTCGGGGGACGCGGGAGCCCCGCTCACTGTGGTGCACGGCTGGCCCCCGCTGCGGCCTGCAGGAGGGTTCGCCCCCTCGGGCGCCCGCTCATGGCCGAGTCCCCAGAAAGAGGAAGCCCCGCCCCTCTTCTGCTGCAGCCTCGCCAGGAGCCCCTCTCGCTTGAGCTCGGCGCGGGCGACCTGCCGCGTCGCCGTCTCCTCTGAGCGCGACGCGGCGCAAGGCCCCGCGTCGACCGGGACCAAGGCCAGCCACTGAGCGACATGCCAACCTTCGTCCTTGATCGCCAGGGTGCGGGCCCTGAACTCCCGCATGACAACGTCGAGCGCCTGGACCGTCTGGCCCTCGAGGGCTAGGTCGAGCACGCGCGCCAAAGTCCTGAGCAGACGGGCCCCGGCTGTGCCGATCGTCTTCGGCGCATGCTCGAGGAAGAACACCGCGTCGAAGAAGGCGGAGCAGCATGCCGGGAGCTCTCCCGCGGGCCCCCTTTTCAGCAAACTGCTTCCTCAGCTGCTCCAAGCCGTTCCTCAGCAGCAACCCTGGCTTCCTGGCGGCCAGCTCTGTGAAGTGGTGGCGACGGACCTTCGTCGCCCTGGAGTCGGCGTCCATCTCGTGCTCCTCGCCCGCAACCGTCTCCCCGTCGGACTCCAGGCCGCCAGGGTAGATCCCACGCCCCAGCAGTCGGTCGCACAACTGCCGCTCGAACGAGCCCCACGAGCCCCGCTCGCGGGCGGGGCGCCCCCCGGCGGTTCGCTCGGCGGCGCGCGCAGCCAACGCCTCTTGGGCGCCCTGGCCGCCGCGCGCCGCGGGGGCCCCGGCAAGCTGCCTCCCTGCTCCGACGCCCCCGCGATCGCGCAGCCGCTGCGCCGTCCTGTCACCGCTGCCCGAGCCCTTCTTGAGCCCCTGCATGGCCTCGTCCAACGGGTCGACCGCACCACCAGCCTGGCCGCACCCGGCGCTCCTCGAGCGCAGCCGATCCTCGGCCCGGGCGTCGCGGCGGGCCGCCACCAGCGCGGCCCGCGGCAGCTCTGGAGGCGGCGGCGGCGACAGGCGCCGCGGCGGCTCCGCCTGCGGCCCACCAGCATCGTCCTCCTCGGACGCGAAGGTCTCGACCACGTCGCCGATGCACAGGTCGTCGACCGGCGGCGGGGACGCAGCACCTGGCCGCCGCGCAGGCCTGGGGAAGGCGGCCCGCGGCCAGGCCTCCCCCCCGGGAGCAGCTGCTCTCCCGCGGATTGCGGCCTCGTCGTCGGGCAGCCGCTGGCACCCCCAGCTGCGCAGCAGGGTTTCCGCCTTCTCCCCGGTGATCGACCGCACGAGGTTGACGTGCTCCACCAACCAGCCTTCGGGGGCGGTGACCGTGCACGTCCTCGCCGCCACCGAGCACACGTGGAGCCAGGTGTGCTCGGCGCACGCCCCGTTCGTCCCGCGGGAGCGGGCATACCATTCGAAGTACGCATCCGACGCACCCAGGCTCTCGAACTCGAAGAGCAGTCCGCCGTCGTCCAAGGTCGGAGGGGACACAACACAAAAGACCTCCGAGCCCTGCGAGAACCAATCCGAGTCCAGCATTCCGTCCTGGAGGAGACCGCCCGGCTCCAGCACCAGGCCGTGCAAGCCCTCGGGCTTCAGCTCGGAGTTGACCCATCGCCCGCCTGGGCGCAGGGCAGCAGGCGCGGCGGCACCCTCCAAGCGCTCACGCGCAGCTCATCGCGAGCTGGTGCCTGAGGAGCGCAGGCCAGGCACCAGCGGAGGGCCGCGCCACACAGCGACCAGCGGCCTCGGGGCCGCCGCCAGCCGCGCCGCAACGAGGACCTCTCGCCGGAGGTCCCCCCCCCAACAGCCCCGGAGGGGCCTACGCCAAGACAACTACGGAGTCCACGGACGGCTGGCCGTTTCATGGGGCGTTCCCTGGGGGCATAAACCGCTCGGGGAGATGTCATATATATATATATATATATATATACTAGAACCACGCGCGCGCTTCGCGCGCTTAGGTTCTAGCTAGGAGGCGAGCTTGAGTCAACGAAAGTCGCAGGGAAGGGGGCAGGGGGAAGAAGGCCAGAGAGCGCTGAAGGATACAAATACTGGAACCCTCTTGTGATTTTGTGGGGGGCCTCGTCCGGCCGCTCGCTGGGAGTTTGACGTAGCTTCTCGGGAGCCTCTGAACCTGTCGGGGGCCTCCTGGAAGCAGGTTCGAAGCATTTTGGGGGCCGATTTGGGGCTTCTCGGGGCCTCCTTTGGGCCTCTTGGGGGTCTCCTGGGGCCTCTTGAGGGGCCTCCTTGGGGCCTCCTGGCGGCCTCTTGGGGCGGAAGGCTCGAGCTTGCGGTTCGTGGTCCCCCTCTGGGCCCCCTCTTGGGCCCGTCTTGGGGCCCTCTTGGGCCATCTTGGGCGCCTCTTGGGCCGTCTTGGGGCCCTCTTGGGCTGTCCTGGGGCCCTCTTGGAAGCTTCTTGGGCCGTCTTGGGGCGGTCTTGGAGGCCTCTTGGGCCGTCTTGGACGCGGTGAAAGCCCAAGATGCGAACATGCGAAAAATATACGTTTTCCCATAGGAATGACACGATTTTTGTTTCTTGGACCTCTCTTGGGGTGCCTCTCGGAACGTCTTGGGCTGATTTTGGAAGCCTTTTGGCGCCTCTGGGCGGCGTTTTGGCGCCTCCTGGGATATGTTGGGCCGGAAGCTCGGAATTCGAGAGTGGCTTTCTCCTTCTGGGACCCCTCTCGAAGTCGTCTTGGGGTTCTCTTGGGCCGTCTTGGGGCCGTCCTGAGCCACTCGTGCGCAGCCTTGGAGCGCTCCCGGAGGCCTCCTAGGCCGTCTTGGAGGCCTCTTGGGCCGTCTTGGACGCGGTGAAAGCCCAAGATGCGAACATGCGAAAAATATACGTTTTCCCATAGGAATGGCACGATTTTTGTTTCTTGGACCTCTCTTGGGGTGCCTCTCGGAACGTCTTGGGGTGCTTTTGGGAGCCTTTTGGCGCCTCTTGGCGGCATTTTGGCGCCTCCTGGAGCCTCTTGGGCCGGAAGCTCGGAATTCGAGGTTGGCTTTCTCCGTCTGGGACCCCTCTCGAACTCGTCTTGGGGCTCTCTTCGGCCGTCTTGGGGCCGTCCTGGGCCACTCGTGCGCAGCCTTGGAGCGCTCCCGGAGGCCTCGTAGACCGTCTTGGGCGCCTCTTGGGCCGTCTTGGACGCGGTGAAAGCCCAAGAGGCGAACATGCGAAAAATATACGTTTTCCCATAGGAATGGCACGATTTTTGCTTCTTGGGCCTCTCTTGGGCTGCCTCTCGGAGCGTCTTGGAGGCTTCTGGGACCTTCTTGGTGTCATGACAGGCGTCTTGGAAGGCATCTGGAGCCATCGGAGCGCGTTCCGAAGCCGCCTGCGAACGATCTTGGACGGCGTCCGGCGGTCCGACGAGCCTCCGGGCCCCCCGGGGCCCACATTTGTGGTCGGGGTCCCGGCCCCGGGCCCCCGGACCCGGTGCGCCGTTATATGTGTAGATATATAGTATGTAATCGTCGTCGTACCATTGTTACTATTATTGAGTTTTCCTCCTGTAGAGGGACATGCCCGACTGAAGACTACGGAGGCTCCCCCCCTTCCCCCGCAGCCCCCATTCCCCTCCAGTGCCCCCGTCCCATCGACTCCTCCCCTGCCCTCCGCTCCCCCATGCCGCCTCTCCCGCGCTCGCCCTCCCCCTCTGCCCCCACCCTGCCACACTCGCTCTCCCCGCTTCCCTGCCCACCCCTCCTCTCCCTCTCCCCATCCCCCGCCCCTCCCCTGCCTGCGGTCCTCTCTGACCATGTTACCTCCTCCGCCCCTCTCCCCCTCCCCCCTCCCGCCTCTCCCCATCCACGATGTCGGGCCCCGCGCGAAGATCAGGGAGGGGGGCGTCTCTGTGATTCTCAGCCTCGGGAGAGCCACTCTGGAGCTCAGTCTTCCAGCTTCGGCACTGGGGCGCTGGCGAAGAAGAAGAGGCCGAGCACTATGGCGGCGCCTCCGATCGCGTGGCCTGGGGTCAGCCCCTGGTGGAGGACGAGCCAGGACATCAGCGCCGCGGCCACGGGCTGCAGCGTCTGGAAGCTGGTCACGGTGGCGGGAGAGCTCTCGCGGGTGGCCCACGCAAGCACCGTGTAGTTGTATGCCGTGGTCAGGAACACCGAGAACAGCAGGGCGAACAGCGCCCCGCCGCTGTCCCCCAGCCGCCACGCGAGGGGGTCGAAGGCGGCGGTGCACAGGGCGCCGAGCAGCAGCACCACGGCGGCCACGAAGAACGCCGCGGACGCGACCAGGGCCGGCGGGTAGAGGTGGACGACGGCCTTCTGGAGGACCACGTAGAGGCCGCCGCCGCAGACGTTCAGCATCAGGCACGGGAGGCCGCGGAGGTAGTCTCCGTCCACGGCGCGGCCGATGTCGTGGCCCTCCCCGTGGCGGGCGCCCATGACGACCACCACGACGGCGCCCCCGCTGGCGAGCGTGATGCCCACCGCCCGGAACACAGTGAGCGTCTCGATCCCCAGAAGGGCCGAGGCCACGCTGGCGACGATGGGCAGCAGGGGCTGGAAGACGGAGACGGTCAGCGCCGGCAGCCGCTCGAGCGCCAGCAGGTTCCCGCCGATGTTCGGCGGCGCGTCCAGGGGGGAGGTGGGAGCCCAGACATCTGGCCGCCCCGATGTTTCCAATGCGTGGGCCCTAGAGATCTGGACCACTGCCCTGGGACCAGCACTTGATCCTGAGTCGCTTTCTGACGGCCCCGAGGCCCGGCGAGGGCCCCCAGAGGCCGCAAACGGCCAACAACCAGGCGCCCCGATTTGTTTCGGAGCGTCGGATCTCTGGGAGGGGGCAGGCCTCCTCACAGGGCGGCGGGGCTCCTCAGAAGCCCTGCGGCCCTCCGGGGGGCCCTCTGTGGCTGGGGAGGGCTCGGTGCAGGCCCAGGCCCTGCCGAGCCCTCCGAGGAGGCCCCGCCCTCTCCGAGACTGCCCCCCCCGCCCCCCGGGCGCGCCGCCGAGATGTTGCACGACATCAGGAGTCCCAGCAGCACGACTCGGGGCCGGTGCTCGGCGGCGATGGCGCCCAGGCCCCGGCTCGCAGTCGACGGCTCCGCGCCGCTCTTGCCAGCCCAGCCGAGCAGCTGGTTCCCCCACAGCATCACCTGCTGAATACACAACACACACTCAAGCCTCCTCCTCCTCCTCCTCTTCCTCCTCGGCCTCCTCTCCTCCTCCTCCTCCTCCTCCTCCTCCTCCTCCTCCTCCTCCTCCTCCTCCTCCTTCTCATCATCATCCTCCTCCTCCAGCTGGCCGAGGAATGGGGAATGGCAGGGCGATGATGGCGCTGTAGGTATTAGTGCGAGTTTTCGGACCCCAGGGGGGCTCCCGTTCGGGCGGGGACCCCCCTTCGACAACACGCACCCATAGCACCCATGGAAGTCCCCCCCGCGAAATCGATGGGTCGCAAAGGTATGGGTGCTAGTCGTCAGCTCATGAAGCTCCCCCACAGCATCGCCAGGGCGCCCCCGAAGCAGCGGTAGGTGGCGAGCACCAGCGGGTTGACGCCCTGCCCCGCCAGCGCCGCCTTTGCGATCAGCGCCCAGCAGCCGTACACGAAGGCCACCGAGGTCAGCGCCGCTGGCAAGACCCAGGCAATCACGGTCATGCGCTTGTCGGCGGCCAACGAGGGGGGAAGTGATAAGGAGAAGACCTTCCCAGAAGGCGGCGGGACTGTTTAGAAGCCCTCGCGCCCTCTGAGAAGTTTTTCGGGGAAGGCTCAGAAACTTCTCTGAAGTCGGGAGGGCTCCGAACCTTCTGGGAAGGCCTTCTCTTTCTCACTTCCGCCCCCCTCACTCGCCGCCGAGCTTGGCCTCGCCAGCACTGCACATGTCGTCTTCCTGGACGGGCGCATATCTTGTGGCAGACATGTGTGCACGGGGCGGTCGCGGCTCGGGCCACGGTAGAACGAAGAGGAGGGCGGGAGGGTAAAGGGAGGACGAGGTCGAGTAGCACCCGCTGCCAGCTACGTTCCAGGTGTCCGCGCCCCGCGAGCCTGCAACCGAAAAGCGAAACGGAAGCGCCAGAGCCCCAATCCCCGTTCAGGAACGGACGCAGAGAGCAGACTAGGGGACCAGTCAGTCGGACAGAACTGAAGGTGTTGGACTGGTCCAAGCGCAGCTCGACAAGAGATGCGTCGTCACAGCCCGAAGCCCTCCGTAAACTTCAGCCTGCAGACGAGCCCTGAGCAGTCAACCAAAGACTACCCACAGGGGACCGAAGGCCACAGCCAATCGCGCGGACAGCCTGGAGAGGCCACGGGCCACAGGGCACCAGCAGCCACACAGACAGACCACTTGCACCGACGGGCGCCCGAAGCGAGAGCCCGTCTGCACCAATGGACCACAGCACTGTTGAGCGCCACCCTAAACACGGTGAACCACGAATGGCCACGGGCAACCGATCGCAAGTCCGCATGCGCTGGGGGGTCACGGGCCGCGGGCCATGGGCGATCGCCCTCACTCTTGAAGGCCACCCCGCATGCAGGGACCCATGAATGGCCTCGGACAACCGAATCGGGAGTCCACAGTCCACTTGCACCGAGGGTGGCCACCGGGCACGGGCCACGAGCAACCGAAGTGAAGGTGCAGTTGCATCAAAGGGCCACGACGACTTGACGGCCACTCCGCATACCGCGTCCGGCGTTGGTTCCTGACACCGCGGGAATCGTTCATCCTTGACCAATTGGCCGTTTATGAAACGTCAGATCGCTCAACATCCGCTCAACATCGACCGAACCTGGGTCGCCAGCGGCGTCCAACGTGGAACGCCCGCGGCGGGGCCGCCGCCGAGTCGGCATGGCGCGAACCTACCGTGCGAGGGGCCACGAACGGCCACAGTGCACAGGCAGCCGAACGCAAAGCCAAGCCGCCTCGACAAGCCAAGAGCATGCACGGGCCACCAAAGGGACGACCAACTTGCGCCGAGGGGCCACTCATGGCTGCGGGCAACGGGCCACGGGCATCCGAGTGGACAGCCCACGTGCATCGAGGGGCCGCATCGAGTGGCCAGGAAGGCCAACAGGCATTGCACGCTTTCAAAAGCCTCTACAAATCTGACGGGCCACGAAGGCTCATGGGCTGCATGCAACTGGGTCGGAAAAACCCAGGGACCACAAGCCACGGGAAAGCGGATGAGCTCTAGCCAACCTCTCACAGAAGAGGGGCCACAACTGGTCGCGGGCCTTGTGCGGGCAACCACATCAGCAGAACACTTCAGGCGAGAGGCCACGAAAAAGCTGTGCCATGGGCAACTGAATTCGCCATCCGCTTTCGCCGATGGCCCACTGGCCGCGGGCCACCAGCACCCGAACCTCACGAGACCTCTGGGCATAGGTGGTTCAAGCAGCTTCATCTTCCACCCTCATTGTTGCCGTTCGTGGAGGGGTGTACCCCTCCCCCTACCCCAACGGGTCAGCGTTGGCCCTGGATGGCTCCACGATAGCCCCCGATGGCTGAATACGGCTTGAAATCCGCCGACCCTTCGGCGTGTGGAAGACGCTGTCGTCGTCGTCGTCGTCGTTGTCGTCGTCTTCGGCCCCAGGGAAATTCAATGACAAGGAAATTGAGGAACGTCGTAGATTAACCGAAAAAACCCTTCACTTTGATCCCCTCCCCTTCCGGGGGGGGAGGGGGGGGGGGGGGGGGGGGGAGGGAGAAGGGATACCGCCCCCCTGGGGTCCCGGGCGGGGGGTCCCAGGGGGGTCGCCAGCGGGGGTCCCGGGGGAGGTCCCGCCTTCAGGGTCGGCGGCACCGGCCGTAAGGCGCTCGCAATATACAGCCAGATCGCCCAAGATGGCTCATGATACCCTCCAGCAGGCGTCCAAGGTCCACAACTGCCCCAAGACGGCTCAAGTGTCCACGGCGCGTCCCAAGGACACCCGTGAAGCAGCAAAAATCCTCCAAAATACATGCATATGGCGTTCCAATGGTGATTACCGTCTGGCTGGTTTGCATCCGACTGGCTCCTGAAGTATCAAGATGGCCCCAAGATCGCCCAAGAGAACCACACGGTGGGCCCAGAAGCGCCCCATGATGGCCACACAGGCCCCACGAGCACCTCAAGAGGGACAGACAAAGCTCCGTGAGGTTCCCAGACCGTCGTAAGGTCCGCGAAGGCATTTCTGCTTGATCCTGGGTCTGCTCAGGATGATCTCGAGATTCGGTTCGACGGCTGCGCCCCTCGATGTTCCACTGCATGTCCCAACGCTTCCCTCATGAAGGCGAAACGCCTAACAATCGTTTCTGGAAGGGCTGGGGATGGACACGCGAAGCGTCAACGACTGAAAAACCCAATGCACCTAGGGGCCACAATGAGCCGTGTGCCACGGGCAACTCAATTCACACTCCCATTGCAGCAAGGAGCCACCTGGCAAAAGAACCTGGACCGATAGCCCGAATGCACTCATGGGTCACAAAGATATTGAAAGTGAAACCCACTCCATACCACACCGTATACACAGGGCGCATTTCCAGTGTGCTCATGTCTAGTGCATTCATCTCTCGTTGCTGCGTTTCCCCCTGTCGAGCATGCCGCACGCACGGTGCACACCCACCTATGCGATGTTGGGATTATCGAGGGGTGCGCTGTCGTCGTATGTGCCGAAAGATGATTACCAACCAAACCACCCCAACCCAACCCGAAGAACCGAATCTTGCCCGAATTTCGGGTTGGGGGGGCATGGGTTCCATATGATTTGTCAGTGTTCCCCGACCCCCCCCCCACTGGAAATGGAGGGCAAATCGAGGCCTTCGGGTTGGGTTGGGGTGGTTTGGTGGGCGGTGAAAAAAAAACAGATATTGTTTCAGGCTGTTGGTGGCGGGGACCTCCCTTGCAGTCGTGTTGCCGGATAGAGCGGCCTGGTGCTGCCATGATCATTCGTAGCATCTGCTTTTGCATATGCCGAGACCTCCCTTCCAGCTCAGCACTGAGTGTCCAAACCTCGAGGCGAAACGCCGCGGTGGGGGTAAAGCAACAATGGAACAGTGAGAACCTACCCGGAAGTGAGCAAGTGCTTGAAGTAAGTTCTTGCCAGAGAGAGTGGAATGTCCCCAGGCTGCAGAACTGCGGTTCTCGATCTAGGTTGCGCGCAGGTCGCTGAGTTGTAGCTCGGCATGGTGGCGAAATGAAGCAAGATGGAGCAACGCAGCACCATGAGGCAAGCATGAGGCCCCTGAAGTTGTCTCGTAACACTTGCAGCCGAACACGCGTGAAATCGAGGAGCGAGACAACGCGAGGATGACGAGCAAGGGCATCATCTCGTGGTCCATCTATTCGTAGGTATGTACATTCCCCAATCAGAGTTTGCCTCTGTAGGGGTCCTAGCGGAGTCATGTGGTTAGGTTAGGTTTACCGCCGATTTTCGCCGCACGCCCGGGTGCCCGGGTGCCCGGGGGTGCCCGGGTGTCCGGGTGGCCGGGTGCCTGGGTGCCCGGGTGCCCGGGTGCCCGGGTGCCCGGGTGCCCGCGTGCCCGGGCGCCTGGGTGCCAAGGGTGCCCGGGTGCCCAGGTGCCCGGTAGCTCGAAAAGCCATATAGCCCGATAGCCCTGTAGCCCTAAAGCCCTATAGCCCTATAGCCCTATAGCCCTACAGCCCCATAACCCTCTAGCCCAATAGCCCTATAGCCCTATGGCCCTGTAGCCCTGTAGCCCTATAGCCCCATAGCCTTCTAGCCCTGTAGCCTTATAGCCCCATAGCCCCATAGCCCTAAAAACATTATGAATGGGTTTTTCTCCGGCATCATGTTATGGTTGTACTTGTCTACAAACATTTTCGTGTATACATATTCCTATGTATAAGGCCGGGGACCCCGGACGGACCCCGGACGGAGCCCACACACACACACACACACCGAATGACACCGAATGAGTTTCGGCCTTCCCCGAAATTTTCGGGCGGTCCCAGAGGCGCCCCAGACGGCCCGAGATACTCCCAAGAGGGGTCCACGAGCGCTCCAAGACAGCCCAAGAGCGCCCTAAGAGACCCCAAGACCGCCCAAGACCGTCCAAGGGGGCCCCGAGACGCCCCAAGGGGCCTCCACGAGGCTTCCCAAGAGGGCCCCAAGAGGGCCCCAAGAGGGAAATGCCATTGATTTTTGTATGGTTTCAGAGGTTGTTCTGGTTCTCCCTCTTTCGGGCCCACATCAGCCCGAACCGGCCTAAGAGGCTCCAAAGATCGCCCCAAGATATCCCAAGAGGCCCCCCGAAGAGCCCGAAAACGACCCAAGAAAGTCCCAAGACAGCCCAAGAGGGCTCCAAGACGGGCCCAAGAGAGCCCCAAGAGCGCCCACTGAGGCACCCAAGAGGGCCCCAGAACGCCGCCAGGAGAGTCCCACGACGGCCAAAGGCCTCCAAGACGCCCCAAGACGGCCCAAAAAGGCCCCGAGACAACCCACGAGAACCCCAACAGAGCCCTAAAAGGGATCCAAAAGGCCCCAAGAAGACTCCCAAGAAGCCCCAAAACGCTACATCACACCAGGGCTCCCAACACTGAGTTTCAATGGCACCCCCAGAAGCCTTCCAAAATCTCTTTTCCTTCATCCTTCTTTTCCCCGTCTCCCTCCTTTTTCTTCCCGTTATCCTCCTGTTCCTTCTCCTTCTCTGTATACTCTCTGCTCCTCCTCCTCTCAGCCTCCTCCTCCTCCTCCTCTCTCCTCCTCCTCTCCTCCTCCTCCTCCTCCTCCTCCTCCTCCTCCTCCTCCTCCTCCTCCTCTCCCTCCTCCCTCCTCCTCCTCCTCCTCCTCCTCCTCCTCCTCCTCCTCCTCCTCTTCCTCCTCCTCCTCCTCCTCCTCTCAGGGAAGGAAATGTTAGGGAATGTAAGACATTCTCAGATCGACAACCACGAAGACGGCAACAAGGCGTTATCGCTTCCTTTAACTATGTACATATCT